TTGCTATAAATAAGCACAGAGTAGCAACACTCTATCCTGCTCTATATGCATGTGTTTTGGAGTAGAAATCAGAGAACATTCTATTTTGTCAAATGCATATTATGTTTTTGCTACAGATATGAGTGAGACAGTGGGTAGGAGTTGTGTGGGAGCAACTAAGTAGAAAGAAGTGTTCAATCTGTTCTTATGGGAAAGCAAACATCTCACAAAAAATGACAGCAGGACAATGCACAGACACAAGACAAAATCTGGTTGATACAAGAGATCACCTTCCCTCTAAAAGGGAGAGCCTTTTATAAAAGACCAGAGACAGCACTGAAGTGAGATGCTTGTTTTGCCAGTGACCAGGCCTAACAAAAATGACAGCACCAGCAGAAAGATGAACCAATATGCAGACTGTATTGTATGCAAGCAGGACATTGCATAAATGATCGCTGGGGGTACAAACAGATCAATCAGCTGGTACATAAACAACACCACCCACAACGATCCCACAAACAACACGACTCGGCCCACAACAGGTGGTACAAACAGTGAACCGAGGATTCCCATAGTTGACATAGGAAACAGCCAGACCAGCAAGCTAAGCACGTAAGAGAAGGGTGCCCACATGGTGACTCTCACCTGATCAGCCCGTGTTCGCAAAGGTCTTAAGCAGACTGGGGCCCAGCTCCAGGGAGAGTCAGGAAGTCTCCCCTGAACCAGGAAGCTCTGTGGAGTGCACTCCACAGACAGACACTCCTGACTCCCTGCAAGTGGTCCCAGCTTTTATCCCCAAGCAGACACCTGACCTTTGTCAACTCCATGCGGGACCCCTGGGGCTCATTTCCCTTATGGGTCTCCCTGCAGGGCCGGCCGCACCCTGGGGGGAAGCTATAAGGCAAACTCACCACCTCTTTATGAAGGGCTGTGGGAATCACCCATATGTCAACCTTAATTCAGGGCTCGGGGTTCAAACCCCAGCATTTCAATGCTCAAATGCCAGTGTTCCAAAGTAATTGTATATAATGCCGTGAACCAATGTCAGAAAACGCCACGTAATACCTCTGGTAGCTCTTTCCCAATGCAAGAGGAAAATGATACAGAACTTGGTTAACTTCATTCATCTGATTCAGGTTAAATGGGAGGGCAAAAAGAGCATTACGGGAATACTACCTGCAACCTCACGTACTGTAGCTATAGATACAGTAGCCCACTTGGCACTGAAAGTGCTTTGAAACATGCAGGTTAAGACACCTAAAATAAGTAGGTATGTTGTATCATAATTTTGATTTGAGACCGTAAGGCAAAAAATGATATGGCAAATTTTGTTTGAATAGCATCATATTCCTCCTCCTACGTCCTCACAAATTTCCTCTAAAAACTACAATGTATTCACTCTTTCCTAAAATGATAAGATTTGTACTATTTTCTGTTGGCCAGTGTGTATGCACAATGCCTGGCCATCCTACGTGTCTGGTTCTTGGAAATAATTTGTTCTCATGTCGGTGACTTTCACTAAACAACACTAGGTTCCTATTGCTATTTTAATAGGCAATATATCCCATAGCTTTGGAAGTGGAATTTTAAACTGCAAGAATGGCATCAAGAAACATTCTACTTTACTTTTATTGGAGAGTGCATTTTCCTAGCAGAAAACTTGGGGTTAAATCAGAGTTCAAGCAGCCTCTAAGTCTAGACTTGGCCCAGACTTCTCACATGATTTTAAACAAATCAGTTAACATTCTGGCACCTCATTTCCATGCTCTAAAACTGAAATAGTACTTCCATTTATGCTCTTAGATATTTTGTTTGGGTTATACATGTCTGAGAGGTAATTTATCCTGTATGTACACAGAACCTAGCAAACCAAGTCTTGATGTCAATTAGTATTCAAAATGCTACTTGATAATATTTACATTATACTGGCTAAGAGGACAATACTACAGGGAGGGATATATTCTGTTACAGTGATGAACGTACACTAGTGATGTATGAATTACATTTTAAAGACCTTCAGAAGTGAGAAGGAAAATATTTAGTTTGGTGGTAATTCACAAGTGCATAACAAATTGTAGAAAGAAGAAACGAGAATTTTTTTTTTTAAATCCTATCTTTTAGGGGGAAAAACCAGCTTATCATGAATGTACTGATTTTATTTAATTTTTTTTTTTTTTTTCTGCTTGAAATGCATTACCATTTGAAACAGAATATTTTCCATTATTCTTCAATTTGCCTTCAGGGTTCAGATAGGATTCTCTGCACAGGAGCACTGGGAATATCCACCTGCTTTCTGAGATAAATTTTTGACATTTCTAGTCAATTAACTGAAAATGGAAAAATACTGCTCTCTCTGCTTTTCCCAAGTTTTTAGGTCTCTAGACACATCTCTGTCATTACTGAACCTGTGATGCCATCTGCTGGCCCTGTGAAAAATCAACGCAAATGTCACTTGTCAAGTGCCGAGGTTGTGACATAATCTTTCAGGCAGCCCTGTCACGGGTTAAATTGTATGTAACACAAAGCACAAATGATAAACGAACCATTTAATGTAATGTATCACTCAAAGGCAATGCATATTGCTAGTACAGTCGGGGTTTACTAATGGATTTGCAGCCTATTTAAGGTATTTTTATAGGTATCTTCTGAAAGGTGAGCATACACATCTCTCAATGAATCAACATTTTGCTGTATTCACAGCACAGGCATAAATTAAGAAAGTGGTGTGACTGAGGCTTAATAAAATAAAGCATCTCGCCACAGAGAAGGAGAAAAGAAAAATTAGAGAATTAAATCCAGAGGTCCAAAGTTTAAATACTTACTCTGCTTCTGGTCTGAAAGAAATTCAACTAAACCTGAGTTAGTTATAAAGAGTAGCTTTGAGAGTACTATCTATTATTGGTAAATTATATTTGTCATATTTTGAGAAACAAATGGAAAAACCATTTCTGTAGGGA